TTTCTCGGAGAATGGAGATGAAGGGGGACGGCGCCGTGCTGAACGCGCTAACTCCACAGAAGGGATGCCTGGCGACCTGCCCACGCCTTCGCTCACGAGCAGACCGGGCGGCAGGCCTCTGCCAGCGCTCCCCGTGTGTGCAGCGAGACACACAGGCGGGATGCGGAAGTGCTGCCACGGGCCAGGCTGCATCTCCAGCGTGAGGACAAACAGACTGTCACCCGTTTCTGCCTGAACACACGGGGCCTCAGGGCAGTGGACGAGAGCATGCTCTCTCTCTCTCTCTCTCTCTCCCTCGTTCTAATTGATTTTTAGAGAGAGGAAGGTAGAGGGAGAGAGAGAAACAGCAATGTGAGAGCAAAACATCAATTGGCCGCCGCCAGCACGCCCCTCCTGAGGGCTGAGCCCACGGCCCAGGAGGAGCCTGTTTTCTTATCAGCCTCGAGCTGACAGGAGGAGCCGCTGCCTTTACCCACCGAGCAAAGGGCAGTGTTCAGCTGGGGACACGGAGGACGGTGACCGGCCCTCCCCAGCACCTCAGCAGCAGCGGACAGAAGTGCCAGGGACAGTCCGTCCTTCCGTCCGCTCCTCGCTGTGTGTTTCCTGTCGTCTCCCCAGAGAGGCTGGTCCTGGGGAAGGACCGCACGGCTGTTTCTCGGAGAATGGAGATGAAGGGGGACGGCGCCGTGCTGAACGCGCTAACTCCACAGAAGGGATGCCTGGCGACCTGCCCACGCCTTCGCTCACGAGCAGACCGGGCGGCAGGCCTCTGCCAGGGCCACCCTCTCAGCCGTTCACACTCTTACTCCGAACACACACAGCCCAGCACGGAGGAGGGAGATGGAGGGAAGGCGTCATGGGGGCTTTACAACGCCTGGACCACGTGTGACCTGATGGACCAGGTACCCATCCTCCCCACCTCCCACCTCAGCCCCTGAGCCATGCTCACTGCCGACGTGGCCCGATGACATGGAAGCTTCTGCTGGGACAAATGCTGTGCGTCGGGGGCTCTCCTCATCCCCACCGGCTGCGCTGGGAGTGAGCTTCCTGCGATGTCACGAGAAAAAGGATTTTCTGAGACTCGCCCGCCCGGGAGGATGGGAAGTTGCAGAAGCTGTATTTCTGGGGACAGTCTGTCAGTCCATTGCATCGGGGTCCGCAGGGCCACCTGGTTCTCTAGGGACCCTGGGCGGATGCAAGGGAACCGGACAGAGCACAGAGCGCCAAGCACCAAGAGAGCGTGCTCCTTTGATGGGGGTTTGGGGGGGGGGTTTATTGCATTCCCCAATTTCCCCGGCTTGCATTGGCTCCACCCCCTTCAGCCTTCAGCCAATCCATGGTCCTCCAGGCTTGACTGACAGGCTCCTTCCCTGTGTCACCCTGACTTCACTGCACATGGGTCCACCGCCCCCTTGTGGACCACTCCTAGGGAACCGGACAGAGCACAGAGCGCCAAGCACCAAGAGAGCGTGCTCCTTTGATGGGGGTTTGGGGGGGGGGTTTATTGCATTCCCCAATTTCCCCGGCTTGCATTGGCTCCACCCCCTTCAGCCAATCCATGGCCCTCCAGGCTTGACTGACAGGCACCTTCCCTGTGTCACCCTGACTTCACTGTGCATGCGTCCACCACCCCCTTGTGGACCACTCCCCCCAGGGGTCCTCAGGGAGTAGCCAGTGGGTCCCTGGGGAGTGCAACGTTGCAGCTTCCTGGTGAAGCTGCCCAGATGACATGCCTATGATGGCTGGACTCCCCCCTGTTCCTTTCCTACCCTATATAATAAAACCCTAATATGCAAATTGACCAAATGGTGGAACGACCGGGTCACTGTGACGCACACTGACCACCAGGGGGCAGACGCTCAATGCAGGCGCTGCCCCCTGGTGGTCAGTGCACTCCCACAGGAGAAGTGCCTCTCAGCCAGAAGCTGGGCTCACGGCTGGCAAGTGCAGTAGCGGTGGCTGGAGCCTCTCCCACCTCCATGGCAGTCGGACATCCCCCGAGAGCTCCAGGACTATGAGAAGGAGCAGGCCAGGCTGAGCCCCCCCTCCCGCCCAGTGCACAAATTTCATGCACCGGGCCTCTAGTTATTAATAACAAGCAAATTACAACAGTGTCATAAAGACGTTGCTTTTTTTCACCCTTGAGTGTGTGAAACCAGTCACTTAAACAAAAAGTTTAGTTTGCAAACTTCTGGCTGGCAAAGAGTAATGATACCCCCTGCCCCCGCCCCCCCACTACTCTGGATTAGATTATCTCATGCAATGGACTAGAAATGGAAAATTCTGTCTCATTTAAAGTAAGTAAATAAATAAAACCCTTGCCAGCTGATTTGAAAATTGACCTGGAGTCATTTAGCTGCCTGCTCCTTTTGCCTTAGTATTTCCATCCATCAGGGAATTAGTTTGGTCCATAAATGTCGTCGATGTGGAATCTAAAGTCACCAAATTAAACAACCAGATTTCGAGTTCTCTTGATGGAGGGCACCTTCAGCTTGAAGCTGCCCGAGGATGAATCATGCAGCCACTCAGCGTCTCGCTTGCTGCGTCTCTTTGGTGAGTGACAGAGAGATGACTGCAGTGCCTGTGCGTTTCAGTAAGAACTCTGAGCTCTAGAATGATTGTAACGACATGTACGGGGTATAAGAGAGGGTTTGGTGGGGAAGAGAACGCGGTGTCACCCTCCATGGAGGAGATGAAAAGGAGGATCGGGGGGTCCCGGCGAAGCTGCTGGTCACTTTGCAGAAAAGGACAAAGCTTGTGATCAGGTGAGGAACTTGCGCTCTCACGGGGCAGTGGTTTGGGGGAATCGAGTCCAAATCAGAGGTTCTGGGGGGACAGGGAAGGAGGGGCTGCCCACTGCGACAGACTATGGGCTGGCTGGTCAGAATACTGGTTCACATTTTATTATTTTAAAAACATATAAGCACACATTTACATAGCAATCTTTTGATGGGCGAGCGAAGCTTTTTCAATTTTTTAAAGTACAGGTCTGCATACTGGAATGTTGAATCACTGTTCTTTTATGATCAGTTTTTCTGCCGTTTCCAGTTCCATTACTTTCAGGGAAAACGAGGACAGAGCAGCAGCAGCAGCCAATCAGCTCTCTGTTTCCCTGTGGTGGCTGCGGGCTTGGACGCGTGACCTCGGCTGAGCCAGTGGACTGCGGACTGGGAGCTGCCTATGTCATGCTTGTTCCCACCAGGGCGGGGCTGAGAGAGAGACTATATTCCTGGTCACCATCCTCAGCCGCCACACGTGGGCAGAGCCTCCCCCAGGGGTGCTGGCAGGAGCTTCCCGGAACCACCTCTGGGGGAACACAACCGCTCAATGAGGGCGTTGGCCGAGCTCTGAACCTTTCTCTCTTGGAATAGATTCTGTTTTCTTTATTTTCTTCAGTGCTAAGCACATCGTGTCACAGGAATGCTTGTCAGCATTAGAAAAACTTACGTTTTAATGTTTATATATTTTATTGATTTTTCACAGAGAGGAAGGGAGAGGGATAGAGAGCCAGAAACATCAATGAGAGAGAAACATTGATCAGCTGCCTCCTGCACGCCCCCCACTGGGAACGTGCCCAACCAAGGTACATGCCCTTGACCGGAATCGAACCCGGGACCCTTGAGTCCGAAGGCCGACGCTCTATCCATTGAGCCAAACCGGTTCTGGCAGATTCTGTTTTCTTTATCTTCTTCAGTGCTAAGCACATCGTGTCACAGGAATGCTTGTCAGCATTAGAAAAACTTACGTTTTAATGTTTATCCCTTTGGATCATTTCTTTTCTTTCTTTTTTAAAAGAAGAGCGAGAGTGCAAAGAGCATGATTAAACGGAGCAACACAGATCTAGACACCTTTCTAGGAACTTCATGTGCCATGTGCTTCCTGGAATAAAATCCATTCAGCGAGCCTCCCCTCCTCCTCCTGTTGCTTACTTGGCTTCAATATCATGTGACCCTCGGGACGCTCCTCCTCGCCGCTGAGAACAGCCCGAGTGAAAGCCGACCCGGCCTCCTGCTCTGACTGGGAGGGATGGTTCCTTCTCCAGGTGGAGACGGCTGTTCGCCTCGTTAATTCCCTAAATGGAACGACGGCTGCATTTCACGCTCAGGTTCGGGTGGGGGAACCGCTGACCCTGAAGGGCCCCATCCTCCCGCGTGGGCTGCGGGTGGAGACCAGGGGTCGCCTCTCCTGTCCCAGCCTCGCACCGAGACCCCACACCGCTGGCTTCACGGATAGCAGCCGAAGGCCAGTGTCGCTTTGCCTTGTTGCCATTATCATGATTATTTACACTCACACAGACCCCAGCGGGACCACACGCACGCTCACAGGGCGCAGAGGGGCCCGCAGCCCGGCAGTGCAGCAGGCAGCTGAGTGGCTGTGGACCCGGCGCTGATCTGGGTGAGGCGCCGATGAATATGCATCGCCCTGCCCTCATCTCCGGATGGAAATGATCGATACCCGGGCCGGGGCTGCGTCCACCAGCGCACAGGAAGCTCCGGGGAGAGGCTGGGCCTCGCTCCTGCTCATGATCACGGCCGCGGACAAGGACGCGCCGGAGGCTTCCCCGCGGCTGTCCGGAGGGCCCTCATTATCCACGCGGATGACGATGATGAATGCGGCTCCTCCTCGCCGCTGAGAACAGCCCGAGTGAAAGCCGACCCGGCCTCCTGCTCTGACTGGGAGGGATGGTTCCTTCTCCAGGTGGAGACGGCTGTTCGCCTCGTTAATTCCCTAAATGGAACGACGGCTGCATTTCACGCTCAGGTTCGGGTGGCTGTGGTTGATCGAAGGCATGACTCTGCACTGAACCGAAGCCCCCAGCTCGGCCTAGAACACACGTCCTGCCGTCAGCATGTCCCAGAGCCACAGACATGGCCACGGGGCCAGCTGGGGACGCGGAAAGCCACCCACGCACCCACGAGCATCCCGGGCCGCCCCGGAGGGGAGCGCCAGCTGGAAATGGATCTCTAGCAGCCGAAGGCCAGTGTCGCTTTGCCTTGTTGCCATTATCATGATTATTTACACTCACACAGACCCCAGCGGGACCACACGCACGCTCACAGGGCGCAGAGGGGCCCGCAGCCCGGCAGTGCAGCAGGCAGCTGAGTGGCTGTGGACCCGGCGCTGATCTGGGTGAGGCGCCGATGAATATGCATCGCCCTGCCCTCATCTCCGGATGGAAATGATCGATACCCGGGCCGGGGCTGCGTCCACCAGCGCACAGGAAGCTCCGGGGAGAGGCTGGGCCTCGCTCCTGCTCATGATCACGGCCGCGGACAAGGACGCGCCGGAGGCTTCCCCGCGGCTGTCCGGAGGGCCCTCATTATCCACGCGGATAACGATGATGAATGCGGCTCCTCCTCGCCGCTGAGAACAGCCCGAGTGAAAGCCGTCCTGGCCTCCTGCTCTGACTGGGAGGGATGGTTCCTTCTCTGTGTCCGCCTCGTTAATTCCCTAAATGGAACGGCGGCTGTATTTCACGCTCAGGTTCGGGTGTCTGTGGTTGATCGAAGGCATGACTCTGCACTGAACCGAAGCCCCCAGCTCGGTCTAGAACACACGTCCTGCCGTCAGCATGTCCCACAGACGTGGCCACGGGGCCAGCTGGGGACGCGGAAAGCCACCCACGCACCCATGAGCATCCCGGGCCGCCCGCTGGAAATGGATCTGTTCCTTCTGCAGGACCTCGGCCGCACGCGTGCCTGTCCGGGGAGTCCCAGAACCGCTCCAGCTGTGAGTTTGCAAGGCCTCAATCCACGACCTGTGACTGTGAGGTCATGGCTTTAAGACCACGAAGCACTGCTCGGTTTGCCAAATGCCCAGTGGTCAGTTCCAAGCTGAGGAGACGGCGGGGAAATGCCCAGTGGTCAGCTCCAAGCTGAGGAGACGGCGGGGAATGCTAAGCTAACCCTCCCCAGGGAGGAGCGGGCGGGTTTGGAGCCCCAGCTGAGTCAGGTGAGGGACCGGCCCCGCTGGTCCCCTACTCTCCTCCGGGCCTCCTGTGGAGGGGCAGCCACACCCGCTCTGCTGCCCCCTGCTGGCCCGGGGGGCTGGGTGCACCTGTGCTGATGGGCCAGCCCCAGGGGAACCAGTGACACCCACTTGTCATTGCCAGGATGCCATGGCCAGACAGCCCGTGGAGGAAAGGGACACTCCTCTGGCCTAGAGAATATGGGGAGTGATTTCCTGCCTCTATTGGCGACACGAGTGGACAGAAGAAAGGCGGTCGGGGTTTTACTTTACCCCGTGGCCGGGAAGCACGCGAGCGGTATGCGTGTCTCTCACCCCCTGTAAGCCAGGCTCTGACGGCTCAGAGACAGGTCCCAGACCCACAGCACACGAGAAGGGCCTTCTCAGAGGTGATGGTTCCAATATTTCTCATCTCAAATGCTTGTCTCACCACCTCACGCCGACACGCCTCCCCTAAGGGGCGGAACAGGGGTCCTCTCCCCTTGACCCCGGGCCGACCTTTGTGACCCTGGATCAGCAGGGGGCAGAGAAGTGATGCTGTGTCACCTCTGAGGCCAAGGCTGTACACAGTCCCTGCCTGGCATGCAGCCCCCTGCTGTGAGGAAGCCCAGGCCACGCAGGGGGACCCACAGGCGGTCCAGCCCACAGTCGCATCCACCTCGACCGTGGCTCAGGCCGCACCAGGTCCCGGGGGTCAGGTCACCCCAGTCTCTATCCTTCCAGATGAGGACCTGGGCGCCGGGGCCCGGGCAAGCCCTCCCGCCCTGGTCGGCTCCGACTCAGTGCATTACTCCTGCGTGTCACTCCCATGGGGGGTGGGCTACTGTGCACCAATGATTCTTCAGGATTCTGTTCAAGGAGAGGGAATTCAATGGCTCAGGTGACAGACTAAAGGGACAGTTCTTCTTCTTATTATTTTTTAATGACAAGGAATCTCCCTTCAGGCACCTATACGGTAAGGCATGTTTATTTACTTAGTACGTGAATGGCCCAGCCGGCGATTTCTCTTTGCCTTGTCCAGAGCTGGTCCCGCCCACTCCCCAGCAACCAATGTGTGGAGCAAGCAAATCCATGCACGGACTGGCCCCGTTATGGTATCCGGCCTTGAGTGCAGACAGTCTGCCTTTAACAGGGCCACGTGCGTCCCATGTCCTGCCACCATGGCTCCCGAGGCGGCCCGAGGGCTCCTTCCCATGGTGACGCCTGGCCATCTCCAAGGTTAGGCTGCATTTGTGCTGGTTTAACTCCCCGAACTCATTACACGGTGTCTTCGCTGCATTCAATCCCCCGGGACACCACCTCCCCACACCGCCCCCTCCGCCGCGACGCACATGTTACATTTCATTGCATCGGCGTTGCAATAGGTTACATGTCAGACAGCAGAGGAGTGAGGCTGTGCTATCCCAGGGAAACCTACTGCTTATCTTTAAGGAGAGGTGCAGGTTTAATTAAGACATACACATCTAAGATTCACCCCCGCAATTAGACGCCTGGCGTCTGCGTTCGACATGCACTAATTAGGCTCTAATCAGCAAAGGCGCTGCCTCCCTCGGATGACTGCGTCGCCCACCCAATTACCGAGGCTCGTCCTGCCCACTGGCGTGCCCTCGGCTCCCCGAGACGACCTCCCTGAGTTCAGGGGGACATCAGAGGGTGGAGGGGCCAGGCCATGGCTGGCAGCCTGCACGCTCCTACTGAGGAAGCCCTACTGTGTTTGCCAAGAAGGTCGAGTAATACACACAGTTTATGTTGAGACGCTGCCATGGGCCAGCCCGGTGGGCTGTCTGACGCCGTTAGCTAACCTGGCACACCGTTCCCAGGGCTGCTTTCTGTCAGGGCTGGAGAACTTCCTTTGAAAAGTCTAACTTGCTGGGAATTCTGTTTGCTGTGATTTCTTAGATTTTATTACAGTAAAGGAAACGGACTCAGCCCCGCCCTAAGGTTCCGAATGCTGTGGGAGCACCGGCTGCAGCTGGACGGGCCCATGGTTTCTGGCCGAAGGAAGAAGCAGGAGAAGGTAGGACACTCCTCCCGCCCCACCCGACACGCGGAAATGGCCCCGGAGCCTGCTGGGTCCAG